CTGGACAAAATTATTATCAAGTTTCTTGGTATGGTGAATGTGGAGAATAATGATATAACTGTTATTTAGTAAATATAGTGGATTTGCTTCCATGTGCATTGAACGCGACAAGATCAGCTACGGTTGATCTGACATGGCTCATCCGTGTGCCATCGACTCGTCAAACCCATTAACCACAGAACACTAATGCTTTTAGTTTTCGACATTGTGCAAACCTTTTGATTTGTTTTGACGGAAAACAACATATTTTGACATGAACGTTCAGAAATATATTAAGAATAATTCGAAGTGTATTCCATACGCGCACCAAAGTTAATTTCCATAATTACAAAAAGAAAATTACAGAAATAAAGATAATTGTTATATTCTCTATATTATTGCTATTTAATTTGTCCTGAATTATATAATAAATATGATTTTACTTGATAAAATATCGTATTTGTCCTGCATATGAAAGAAATAATTTCACAAAGTCGAAAACAGAAATCTTTATTATATAATAATAGTGTTACATGTAACGTGCAGGTAACGTGTTTAATAAAATGTCATTAGTGATTTACCAGCGAAAATAATTTACACATAAAATATTGTACCTACCTTTCTACGCTCATTGCTGTCAACATAAATACAGAACACGAGCTGGATAGAAGAGTTAAATACGACAACGCCTTGCACATGAATTCTCCCAGTTCCCATCTCCACTGAAAATACGTCGGTGTCTGGAACGGTATCACTATAACGATAAGAATAAGATCGGCGGTTGCCAAGCTAGCCAAGAATGTATTGGTGACGTTCTGTAGACGACGACATCTCTGGATGGAAAATAGGACCAGAACATTACCCGTTAAGCCTACGAAGAACGTGATGGCGTATACAATGACAGTGGGCAACCAAACCATCATGGGTGGTGGATCGGGTGGATGGAACCACAGCGTATCGTTTGACCAATCCAGGGTACCGTTGTCTGCGATGTTGTCGTTGTATTCAGTTGTTGATGACGGAGCGGTCATAGTGAAGTTATGAAGCTCGTGCTTCATGGTTCGTCTTCAGTGTGGCTATGAGTACGAGATGCAGATGTTTTTCCTCTGATGAGTATGGACTCAAATACTCAATAAGATTGTCTCTTAACCGTGATTGCTCTAAATTACTTTTGTATAAAACGGTGGGAAAGAATATTTTTCTGTTGCCTCGGGCAGAAAAATCCAAATAGTCAACCCACGTTTTCACCTGCATGTGGGCGAGGCAGAGTGGCTCGAATAAGTTAGCAAACCTATGCCAATGTATGTGAAATTCACTTTTCACGAATACAAACCTCCGGAGCCGTAGTAGTGACTGTAGATAAACACTTATTTCGATTACTGAAACTGCACATAGCACTCACGGGTCTTGTCCTAGAGTGAGAAACGTACACTGTGTGCAGTTACGTCAATAACAACTCTGAGAACCAATCAGCATGACAGTAGCTCTGGTGGGTTGGTGAAATCCATCAATAACAACGGTGAAAGTTACATAGTGACATCGATATTGCAATAATGATAATAGGACGCGGAGAAAATGGGTCTTGCAATAAATTACCATCAACGCCGTTCTACGCAGCTTTACATGTACTTAGTGCTTATATTATGAGCTAGAAAGTGGCTTATGCATAATTCCGTAAAACGTTGAATGTGATGCGAGAAATGTTGATGGATTGGAAAGCGATGTCTTATAAACGTTGGGCAGCACTTACAACTACTCACAGTAGACATACTGCGCGGAATGGTGAAGCTCGCACGTCTGCTCTACATGATTACAAGTGCGTACGAGATGGGTTTCGAGGGGGTCTTTGCAAAGTTGTTTTTGTTTTGTTTTTCAATTTCGTAATGTTACCGAGATGGTAGGCCAAGACTACTTTGCTTAAATAGATTATCCGATCAATGCCGTTCTGCTTATTAGATTCATAGCAGTACCAGCATTCCATGAATTTCGTAATCACACCCAAGTTTAGCTTTGAAGGGCATGGACGCCGTTATATGTGTCCCTGGAGTTTTCAAATTTTAATCGATCCATCAAACTATTAAAAGTAACTACAATAAGTATAACTTGACATTTTACGCAACGTAAAGAGTTTAGCTGCTGTCAGTGCCGTAAGGTGGGTCAGTGGATATAATGTCGTGGGCGCATCGCAAATTATTCCCTGTAGACACCCACAGTAGTTGAAACCAACCTAGAGATTAGACGTAAAACTAGTCGGTATTTCCTACCGTAGTGCGTGTAATTTGACTTGCATACATTTGAATTTCAATCACAATAAATAGCAATATGACATCTTATTTATACAAATATTGTTCCGTACTATATTTAACTTGATTTCCGTGCTTTCCAGTCTGCCAGATTTGAAGACATGTATGTAGCCCCACCGCAACAGAACACAGTTGTTAAATTTGTTACTTGAAATAAACAATCGTGAAATGATTACTATACTTATTTAACATTTAGGTCACGTTCTAGCCTCAAAACGCGGGAGCAATTACGGATTCCAAATATTGATATTTTCTACATGGTGGATTATTTTGACTCGGAGAGGATATTGAAAAGCTAATATGCCACATTATGTCAACTCCTTTTCAAATACGAGATTGTGTGTGAAATGAATGGTTAGGTTGCTATAATTTATGTAATCACTTTCCAGGATATGAAAAGGTCAAAATTGTTATAACACATTTTTGTTATAAATGGTGTATGTATGAGTTGGAATGTTTCATATGAGGTAATGGTAATTCAATTTGCTGATGATTGTTGGTAAATTGAGCATACAATCACGCTGTTACTCCAATTGCTATTTCAAACAATTCAGGATAAGTGGCAATTAAACTAGTTTGCCTAAATTGTTAGAGTGAAGATGTACCTGACTAAAATGACGTTCATATATTTAAACAGAGTGATAGGTTCTGATTCCAAGCAAGGGATGAAATATTAAACAAATATATTGAAAGGTTATTATGAGCATAAAAGTATTATATGTATAAAAGCTGAACGAGGAATGCGACACTGTACAAATATTTTTTTTACTGTGCGTGCACCTGCGGTCTGTGAATCAAGTTTTCCGATACATTTTTATTTTACTGTGAATATTGCAAATCAATATCTGCAGGTGTTTAAGATCAAATTCATATCGTCGCAATAAGTGGAAATCTGTGAAACAACCAAATCACGCATTATATCACACCAACCAACATTCATGAAACAATGCAACGTACAATACAACTAATTGGTTTCTCAATACACTCACTGCAGTATTGAGTGAGTTAATTACCATGAAAATGCCCTTAATGACCTTATTACGATAACTGTCACATTTTCCACGGATGTAACTTTGCCCGAGTAATCATTATTGAATCGAAAAAAATATATACAGAAAGCTAGCCTCTGACACGTGCAAATTCATTGGTTTATGCTAAAAACGATAACTGTTTGTATGCACGCATCTAGATATGTACAGAAATAAACAAGAAAAGCAACAAATACAACGGGAAAGAAAATTGCTCTTCTGCGATCCACTCAACCGTCCACATGCATTGACAGTTGAATTATGGTTTGCGGAAGACGGGTACTTTAAACTCTACAGACTAACGTATCACTCATAGGCACAAAGTTATTTTTTGAGCTCAGCATGTTAGAGTAATCTTAGTATTAGTTTATTGGGTGTAATGAATGGACTACACATTATAATGTCATTATAATGCATTGTGGGATGAATTCTTCTAAGGTGAAGAAGATGAACTGATAAAATAACTAATACAATTCTGATCGTATTCTGCGTAGTGTTAGTCTAAAAACTGGTTTAATGTAACTTTCAAAAAAGATGTCGATTGTTTAAAAAAAATGAATTTAAGTAGTAACATTGGTAACCTATATTGAAAATAATTAACATGGTAAAAGTTAGGGTTTGAGCTGCAAGAAATAAGTCCCGTCACATCTGTAAATCTCGTGACATGTGTGTTAAGTCTGGTATCTTATCAAAGTAGTGTTTTCTTTACACCACAGTAGAGAGGTTTTGAATTCTCTGGTTGCTTAGCTACCCAGCGCGTGAAAGGGTCGAACAACGTTCGGTCATCGTGACTATGATTATTGGGGCAGATTGACCTGATTCAGTTTTGCATCGAGCAAGTTGATTCTGTATGTGCATCCAGGTTAAAGTATTACTAAATGAAATGTTCGTAAAAATGGAAAACGCGGCTTTCCTTTTATAACACACAATGGACGTTTCTTTTTTACGTTTCTTTTGCGAGATATCTCTGGGGGAAACAGAATACAAGTATATATTGAATTTGTGAAAACCTCGGTAAATGGGTTCGCAGTCTATTCAGGTTAGGTTATGTATCTAAATAGTATTATACAAATGTAACGCTGGCAGAAGCCATGCAAAGTAGAAATGTCATTGCACACATCAATAAATATAACAATAAAGTGAAAAAACAAGCCCAAGATCAAACAAGATTACCCTAAGAAGAGTGAACAATAATCATAATTAGTGGAGTGAAATTAGAGAGAAGTCAGAGAACACAAAAAAAGGATAATAGACAATGATGGACTGGGCGAGATAATTCAAGGGCTTGACTAGTTCAGTTCTACTACATACACGGTCTTAATTATTCTTATATCAAATGTGCATCTTTTTGTTATCCTTTGGTGAAATATATATATATATATATATATGATACGGATATACATATCCGTGTCATAGTCGATGAAGTGGAATTGCAAGATTAATACAATAAACAATGGACAACAAGCTAAGGTGACTTTCGCGTCCAAGAAAACAATGCATTGTCTATCAATAAAACAAAATGTGGCCATCCATTATCTGCCTTGACAAGATTTTCGTATCATTGTTTTCTTTCTCCTCTTACCTCATGTAACATCTTGTGTAAACCACATTAGATATGCGCCTGCGCTAAACATATTTACACCCCGTAGAATGCAGTATGTTAACATAGTTAAGTTAGTAGTGGTATAATTAACACTATATTGAGCTATATTGAACTACATCATTGATAAAGTCACGATAAAGTCGTGATGTGAGTGTGAATATCAATGACAAGTTTAAGCTGCTTTGAAATTAAATGTATTTCATATATTTCACTTGTTTTCTTCTGGGCACTTACAATTCGAGGGTATTTTAGAAATATGTAATAAATTACACGGAAATCGCAGCACAATTGGCATATTCTAATGAGACGCTAAAACAAACGTGCTTATTTGCTAAAATGTGCATGTATAACAATGTAAACTGTATATAGTTATTTTTAAATATCGAAAAGAATATTGAGAATACATGTGTAGGAACAGATGGTTTTACGGGGTTGTCATCATCACAAACAGGCACTTGTAATATATAACAACGCCATTTATTGATTGGTGCACTTCAATAATACGATACAACATCTTCGAAACGACATTACACAAAGCAAAAAAACAACTAAAGTGCGGTTCTTATAAATAAAGGAAAAGGAGCAAGTGAACAATATACAATTAAATGTAAACTATGCATGTCTTATAAACTCATAAACTGGGTATCATAATCGATAAATGAATTTTTATATATTCGACGCTGAAATTACAGCCCACAAACGTACAGATCAATATTCAATAAAAATACAGATCTGTAATTCAAGGAAAGTACAGACCAATAATCGAGTGAAAGTACAGACCAATAATCAAGCGAAAGTGGAGATAAAACATACTGTAGTGCAGACGTGCAAATAAACAACTTTCAAGCATATAACCTGGCAAATACAGCCTGAATAACATATTAAACACGATTCCATTCCCTCACAGCTGGCCGTCATACATTGAAAATACACACTAGCGCCGGATGGCTATGCATGGCACTCGAATAATGAAGTGTGGTATGTAGAGCTACTCCACTCAATAAATGCAGATAAAATATAATTGAAAAACAATGAAAAGCTGAGAGATGCTTACACAAAGGAAACCTGAAACCCACAGTCATGTGTTGACCGCACTGATGTATGATTGCGAAATGACAACAACATGTTTCAATATGCATATGTATTTGATAAAACCAAATGTTCAAAGCGTTGAACTCAGGTAAACGTTTACAATCAGAAAATATTGCTCAAAAAATAATAACATAGCGAAATAAAACAATGTGCACCAGTAACCTACGATTTATTTATTTATCATTAAATAAATGTATAATAAGGCAAATATCCAAGCTTAGCCTACTGCAATGAATACATAAATTAACAAGCTCAGTGATTTGTATTTCTACGTAACATTAAGTTAAATGAAGTATACTTTATATATATATTTTGAAACATTTTTTCGTCTGGTTTTGATATGAAAGATTAGGATAACAATTCACCTGTTGTAACAATTCCCTCAACATTCAATATAATTATATAACAGCCAGAAATCAGTGATCGATTTATCTGTATAGGCAATATATTTTATATTTGTAAACCATGGATGTGCCTAATCCGTTCCCCAGTTACAACACAGATTGATTCAGTAGTAATATAATCGTCATATTCACATCAATATAATTAGAAAGTAACTAAATCTGATAACGCCAGACAATAGCAGGTACTAGCACGAGGGAAACAAATCACGCACGGCATTGTAATCTCACAAATGTTTTAATCAAACAAATTATTGATGGTTATCTCTTTAAATTTTGTATGCATGAATTTAAAAACTAAAATATTGAAGTTTCCGGCCTGATTGAATGGTTTTGATTGAAGGCTAAAACTGCGCAACCAATACAATTCAAGCTATAGAAATAGAAACCTGTTTTGTGTGCGTTTGAAACCCACACATTTAAAAGCTACATTCATTCTATCGATTACGACCATAAATATAGCTTACACCCCGATGATTCGTCTGATGTTGACAACAAGCCGTCCTTTCAATTTTCTCCAAGGCTCTTAAAAGTCTCTGGAACAAATCAATCTTGAATACACTGAAAGTGTGTAATTTAATAATACAAATTTATTATCAATACTTCCATAGTCACCATTTGAAGTGGCATTTTTCGAAAAGCTCATAAAATTTCGTAATAAGCAGAATTTTAAAGTAACTTAAAGTACCTAGATTTTGGGACAAAATGGCCACACTTGGCTTACGTATACATACAAGTTTCAGTGTAATTATGAGATGACGAATAAACAAGTGGGTCATCTAACTAAATTGTCTGAAGTAGAATGATGGTCTTTCTAATTCCAACTTCGGGCGTAACTAGTGGAGCAGGATGTAATCAATCTTTTTAAGAAGTTATATTGTCTATAATTACGTCTTGCAGGCATACCCATTTATATAAGTAGCGTACACGACTCCCGAGTAATCCATATCACCTTATCGAGTGCCATAGTAGTAATCATTACTGCATCGTAATTGATGTGCATTTCATTTTATGGTGAAAAGCAATACATTTTATGGAAATTCAATCGACTAATAAGTTACAAATATAATTTATTCAGTTATACATGTTAAATGACTTAAAATGGAATCAACTGTTTGAAATAGACCAATGAGGAAATATCTTTTACAATGCTCATAGATTCCTCCGAACTTGAATGTCGTAAAAAAAACTATTTTCCTGAAGTGTATAGGTCATGTGAACTAAGCTGCGACATATGTATAATAAGTGGCTAGTTTCGCGTTTTATTATCGTCGCGTTTTAGCTGTAATGTTACACAATAACATAATTGAACAATAATTCAATAAAAACAAATACATAAGCGTCCAAAACAATATGAAAATGGGGATTGGTTGCAGACCCAATGGCTCATCAACATGCGACAATGAGCAAATATTTTGAAAATGCGTTTGTAAGATGGCATCATACATACACGACAAGTGTGTGCTAGTTTGAATCCAATAAACGTGTACCAGTATATTGTTTTCTCATTGTGTAGTTAATTGAAATGTTATTTGACAGTGTTATATTAATTGACAGTGTCTGTCAGCAAACCTTACATTGCGTTTCAATCACAAACAACTACAGATACAAGTCTTTATAATTATTAATTTATTTTCAATACAGACACTTTGACGTTCGTGATTTAAATTGAACATATACTATTGATATACTTGCGGACAAAGATTATACAATTCTCAGCTTTATAATTAATTCTCATATATATGCAAATGCACAGCACACATGATTTATGGTTATATTATCGGGAAACCATTTGACCAAAGAATATTAATAACAGTTTATACTGTTGAGAAATAGAGACGCGCATTCAAACAAAGAATGAAAAGACTTGCATCTCTCATTTTGGCGAAGCCATAAGAACAACATTTTCTAATGAGACACTGGGTGTAACATAATGCCCAAGCTGCACATTGAAACCATGACTTTGTAAATACTTTATTCTACCAATATCAATTAATCTTTTGCACATTTTTCCAATTTGTTCTCTTTCATCGATTTCCCAATACTCCCCTTCTTTATCCTTGTCAAAAGCATTCTGGGAAGTTCCAGTAACATCTTCGCTATTACGTTCACAAGAGCGGGTAGACAGATTTGTAGATTTACAACGTTCACATTTCGACTGAGTGACATGCGGATTATCTTCTGGTACATTTTCTGCTTGTGAAGTATCAAGAACTTTTGAATCAGATGAGTTTGAATGAAGAACAGGGTCTTCTACACTATTCAATTGTTGTTTTTTAATTGCACAAGTTGCCCAACTCGTTAAAAGAGATATTACATTAAAATCTTTTGTAGTGAGACCTTGACACTTGAAAAAATCTTTCCCAACATAATTACGCCAGAGACATTTGTGATGGCAGCAGAGAGCAATAACAATTCCATTTAATCGACTTGGATTTCCTTCTGTGTTCAAAAGTTCATTGTCTATTGGTTCCGTTGAAGCACTTGTCTGAATGTCATGGTACTCATGAGACATGCTGGCACATACATCTTTGTTATCTGAAGATACCTTGCTTGTCCGATCGTTATAACCTTGGTTACCCGTTGGTAGATTTGTATGGGAAAGTTTCTTTCCTGTAAACACATCTGTAGGAAGTTCCTGAATCTCCGCTGGAGCACTTTCATTTTTTTGGGACAAATTTATCTCATGACTGTTGACATATGGAGTTGTTCGGACTTCTTGTTTTTCAGTTGACGTGTTACTTGTAACAATCTTCATGAGACATCTTAGAGATAAGTCTACAAGAGTAAACGTATTACTGAGAGTTACACGTTGTTACCAGTATTACAGGTTGCCATCAGCAATAGTAAACATTTAATATACAGTATGCAGCAGGTGGAAAAATATCATATTGTATTCTATAATAGGTGTATTCAAATCAGTACATGGTATTACTTGACTGGCATTCACCACTAGAACTTATTTATTTTACCACTTTGAGCTACACAAAATACACTTCTTCTTTACATATCAATACAATTGGTTGATCAGGTGACAACTAAGACAATTACAAAAGTATGCATTCAGTCTCATGAATTAAAGTAGCCCTAAAAATGGGACCCCAACGCATTAGAGAAACCCAAATAACTCACCAGTAGCCGCACCACATAAATGTTTACTAACAGCTACAATAGAACGTCTATTATCTTTCAGTGATGGCACTTTGTCCAGGTCCAAGTGTTCAATATCAATACGAAGTCTCTCAAAGTGGGTTCCATCTTCTGATGATTTACTGTCAAACTGATAAAAGAGATATCTGTTGTGATTTAAATTACCAGTAGTTTGTATATTTTGATTTTGTGTCTCTCATGAAATACTCCTAAATATACTATAAATTACTTGTCACATGTCATGAAAGAAATTTCTGTGAATTTCGTGACTCAATGAAAATCTTTGTAAAAATTCTGTTAGGGTTCTAAAAAAAGTACTCGCACTATATTTTTGCCTTTGTGAATGTCAGTTGTATCTATTAGTTGGTAATGAAATACCACACATACCTTGTATCTATTGGTCCCTCTATCAACCAATAAGAATAGATTATCAGTACTGTCATTCAGTGTGGTTTTAATCCAATGTGAAAGCTGACCTAGTATTTAAATTAGTAAATAATATATCAATTAGTTTTCATTTTTATAAATTAAACAACAAAATAAAGAACAGAGTGACTTTACTTGTGTTGATTGTCGGAACGATGGTCATGCATTCACACCAAGTATACTGAATAGTTTGTTGGGTTTGCATTTCATGTGGTTGACAAGTGAAATTTGAAAGTACTGCCACTAAAACAATATGGCAGTAAGTAACACAGACATAATGATCATTTGTGTGTAACCTGCAAATCCAGACTCGCAGCTTCCAATGTACATGCTATAATTTCGCCAATTGTATAAAGCAGTGAAAAAGCATGTAACTATCACATTTATGCCATGTTCAGTATCTATCCAAGCATGATTCTATCACTGACCTTTCCCAGCACCAAATTCTACATAATTTGTCTGAGACTGCAACAAGTGTAAATCTTTCATAGTGTTAAGCAAGGATGAGGTTTGTTTTAAATGTTTCAATGCCTTCATTCCATTGGCTGGATTATCCAGTTCACTTTGCATAATAGGATGATAGGAGATACAGTCTATAATATGTGGTGTATTATCTGGAAAAAAAATATAGTGATATTTATGTAAATATAAAAAAGAATACTCTTCTAATAGATGCATTTATTTTCTTATGATAGTAAATATGATAATAATCAAATCAAGTGGAGATAATGAGGTTTCCATGTGAAAACATGAAAGGCAAGCAGTGTTTGTATTGACCAACCCATAGTATGGGGTCACTGCGATCCCATACTGCCTGAGATGGTACTTTGCAGTATTATTAATAACATTATTATTATAAATATTTTCATATCATATATTTCATATACATATTATGGAGCTGTCCATTTCAATAATTGTCACTATCATACTTAAGTTATTGTACTCTGTTGACACTTGACCTCTTCATCCGATCAACAAATACACAAACCAAATAAACGCTAAGCATATATGCTGAAGTATATGATGTATGGGAACCTAAATTTGTAAAAGAGGCTGGAAGGAAAAGGTCAGCTAAAATATCGCTTTCGTTTTCAGAACTAGTTTGCCACCAGGGGTTGTCAGTGACATAGTTAAAGTTTGCTTAATCGAACGCACCACACACATGTCATCCACAGACGCAAATTCAGAGCACTCGCTTCATACTCAATCAGATCACTCTCTTATGCTTTCATAAAAAATATATAAAAAGTGTCTAGCAATGACACATCATAGTTATGCAAATGAGTGTTGTCATCACAAAACCAACACTGTACAAACGCCACTATATACTGCTCTGTTTCAGTTTTAGGTGTATGCTACGGTACTGTCTCAATGCTCTGTGTCTCAGACAATACCTTTCGCTGTACGATGAACTCCAAGGTGAATTCTGGTATTTTGAGTTGATTGTAAAAATATAGAAAATCAAAGAAAGCTTAGAAAGAACTCCCATGTGCTGAGAGTATTGGAGACACATTAAATATAATTTGAAATTACTTAGCTGAAAACTAATTATGCAAATCAGAAAATTAACATGAACAGATTTGATTGTAAAACTAATGAGGTCTGCGCAATGTAACAAAAACTCTTTGTACCAAGTTTAATTGAAATGTGATTAGAACCAAAAAATTATGAATTGTTATGCTAATTAGGGAAATAATATGAACAGAGTTTTACCCCAAACTAATTAGGTTTGTACATTGTCCTAGAGCATCTTTGTACTAAGTTTCATTAAAATGGAAATTAGTACTTTAGATATCAGTGTGAAAGCTTAAAATTGGTTAATTATGCAAATTGGGTAATTAATATGTACAGATTTAACCCACAATTATCCAGGTCTGTCTATTGTCCTACAGCATCCATGTATAAACATTCATTGATATGTGATGATTAGTACCTGAGATATCAGTGTGAAAGTTGGAAATTGGTTAATTATGCAAATTAGGTGATTAATATGCACAAATATTTACCAAAAACTAATTGGGTCTCTGCATAATTCAAGATTCATTGAAATGTGATGATTAGTACTTTAGATATCAGTAGAAAAG